GGCTCCGGTCAAGCTCGAAACGTTCGACGGTCCCTGAGGAAAAACAACAAATATCGTATCAGTAACGAAGTCCAGTCAGGAGGATAAAGTAGAAATATCAACTAACGGGATATCAGAAAGGAGGTTCGGTACTTACTGAGTTCAGAGTAGGACGTCGAAACCTTAACAAAAGGTATGGTATCACCCTCACACTCCTGCCACTNNCTGCCACTTCCCCCGAACCCAGAACCAGGTCTCCTTCCCCCCTTTTATGGATGAGGGGAGACCGACACGAAGGGAACATGTCCTCCCCAGGGGCACGAGAATACCAACCATTGGAGTCCCTTTTGCCTAACGACCTAGGTTGAAATATGGTTTGGAAAATGTAAAGGGGCATATCTTCGCCCAAAGAGGTCTGCTTCCAAAGAATGTAGGACCCAACTAACTGTGTCCAAGCGTTTGGAGAAAGCTGGGTAGGAGCAAGCCCATACAACCTAAGGGCAGCTCGAAAGAAAGGATGAAGGGGCAAACGAAGCCCAGATTTAATGAGGTATTCACTTATGGCTACGCATCCTTGCCTCGGGTAGTAGGCTCGTTCACTGGGAGACAGGGACATCAATTTGATATTATAAGGGATCCTAAGCTTCNTCCCTAAGGTCAACTAGCTTGGTTGGGTTAACGTTAGAAGGAACTTTGGCTGCCCCCCAAGTTATCCCCTCATCTTTGCCATCCTACCCTTCACCCGAAGTGTCATCGCCCCTGCCAACCTTAATGGTCCTGATAGGTTTGGCAGTAGTTACCAACTCACTCCCCAGCCCAACAGCCAGCCTATTGATGCCTACGCTCTCATCATCATCAGAAGAAGAAGACGCCGTGGATCCGAAAACTTAAATAAAATTCGTAGTGAAATACAGCGAAGATTCACAACACTTACAGAGATAACTTCACGAGGAAGGAGAAAAATCTCGAAGAAAATACTGAGAAAAGCTCGTAAATACGAAGATAAAGCTAGTAGGGAGAGGTTCACGTAAAAATAAAGGGAAAATGACTTTTCTAGGGAGCAATCTCCTTTTATTGACAGACATGCCCAACCGTAGCCGTTAGATCTTGATCTTTGGCATCTAGCCGTTCATTTTATGCTCTGATCTGAGTCATTCTTAGCGTCTGACACTCTGCATTCAAAGGTTCAGATCCAAGCATAGCACGCACATGCCCAAGTACCCCTAAGGTTTGCGGAAAAAGTGTGGGCACCAAACCATCATTTCGCATTAAATGCGGCGGCCCTAGCGTGTATAGGAAGTTGTACCGAAATAATCATTTTTCCTTGGAAATTGGATACGACATCAAATCATAAAGGGCACCTCAGGTCTCCCAGAATTCTTGGAAATGTATATAACTTTTCATGACAGCTAATCGATGGTAGTCCTCAAAAGTCCCGTTACCAACTCCCCCAACGAGCAATGGTACTTCGGACCAAGGAAGGAACTTCGGTCGACATATCAACTTCAGAATTGGACGTACGAACCTTGGAAAGAATGATGCCTCCACCTTCAGGTAAACTAACTCGAAAAATGCTAGTAGGAAGGTCGAGGAAATTTATAAACTCCCTTGCTGAAGAAACATGAAACATAAAAGTCCATGCATTACATGAATAACCATGCATAGACTTGGGGGACTATTGTTACTTCCCAGAATTGGAAGCTCCAGGTCAACAGTCCACGTGGACAGCCACGTATTCCTTTTAGCCAAGTGGACAGAAAGCCAGTTGAAAAGTCAATGGAGAAGCCAACACAGGCAAGGTCAACAGAGGCTCCTTGGGTCCCAAGCTCCTTCATTCAAAGGCAGAGGTTCATAAGTCCGAAGCTCCTTCGTTCAAAGGCAGAGGCTCCTAAGTCCGAAGCTCCTTCATGTGAAAGTAGAGGCTCCTAGGTCCGAAACTCCTTAAGACCGAAGTATTGAAGCTTAACGCAGACGTTTTCTCATAGCAGATTCGAAGATCTCTCAGAATTGATTGACTGACATCTACCATAAAGTGTCTGTAGCGTTCATGTGTGTCAGTGAGTCAGTCTACAAAGTAGAACGGCGGATCTTCTGCAAAACAATAATTGTAAAGATTGAACATTGATGTGAGGTTTCAGTCTAGGGGATGTCGCCACGTGGATTTGATCTAACGGTCACCACGTCAGCTAGATCAGTATAAATAAACCCCTCATTGTGTAGAAGAGGGGACAGAGAATCACAAAAGAACATATTTATACACTTTACTTTGCTTGATCTTGAATAATACAACTTATATTGAAATCATAACACATTACAAGACATTCTCTTTTATCTATCCTTCCACNATCGATCGAGCTCTTGTAGATAGCGTAAGGGCCGTTTAAATCAAACCACCGGAGCTTGAACAGTTGTGTCTCTTACCGAAAAGCACCTCCCGCGTTCCATCCAACCATACTACCGCTCCTGTTCCAGTAGAAATGCGCCGGATCATTGCTTGACGTGGCAAGGGTGGACCCGGTATCTGTTGAGTTCATTTTTTGGGGTTAACAGATCTATCTGGTATTTCTTGGTTGATAAATTGGCATGCGCTGCACCTTCTATTACTACAACTTCCTGCAACAATGGCACTGGAACCTGCCTTTGTGAATTGTGTACATATTCTTTTATGTCTCAGACAATTTTCAATTCATAGAAATAAAATTATACAACTTTCAATTAAATTGGTACAACTATTATACCATCTTATAAAATTATCTCCAACAATTATATCAAATGAACAATATTTCCTTTGCTTTCTTATTTTTTTTTTAATTCTCAACAATTAATTTAATTTTAGGATTATTTAATTATAGATTATATTTTCTTGAAACATGATAGGTCTAGCTCCCTGGCAATGAACTTTGCTGGCACATGTTCTTGAACCTTGGATCAAACCCAGTCAATTCCAGCTCTTGTAATTCATATTAAAAATGGTTTTGTTACTTGTACACAATGGTGTTGACACCTCAATGTACAGTCTCCTCACAATAGAGGGGTTCGCGATTTTTTTTTATTAGATGTAACCTCTATTGTGATGGGGTTGTCAACCCTAGTGTACAAATAACAAAACTCTATTAAAAACTGTCAATTCAGCACATAACTTAGTGTTCTGCTTCCAACATTGACGAAGTATGTAAGACTTTGTTAAACTTGAGAAGTAGATGACCGGACAAGCTTAAAACTGTCAAAACAAAGTAAGAAAAATACTACTTGTATATAAAGAATTAAAAATGGTTTACATACAGATGATGTGTCAAAAAGAAATTGAGTTTTTTTTTCTTATCTGTGAAGCTTTCTGTACACCAAGGTGTACAAGAAGTTACTTTTTGAATAGTTGAATAGCTTGTTTGGTGAGATAGATTAAAAAAAATATTAAACAACATTGAGGAAAACGAAATTAAAATCTTGTTTCATGCATCGTCGATGTCGATTTGATGTTTCCCACTAGTCATTAAGAAATAAGGGCGTGTTTGATTGCGAACATGAAATTTGTATAGAAATAAAATAAAATTTAGGTACTTCAATTGTCTAGAAATTATTTGTATGGAATTATTAATTAAATGTGTTTGATTGATTTAGTTTTCAACCTAAAAAATATTATAATTGTTCATTTTTTATTGGTGGATAGATGAGAGTGAGAGAGATTGAATTACCTGAAAAATAAAAACATCTCCCCAAAGAAAATAATTTTCTTGTTTTCAAAAAAATATGATCATGTGACCAAAAGTAGGAAAAATATTTGATGTAGAAAAATTGTGAATCAAACAGTACAAAAGTAAGAAATTAGATGGAAAA